ATTCCGATGACAATCATAGCGTATCGTCGTATAGATTATCTCCCTCTGCGTGTCGAAAACACGCGCGAGAATGAAGGAAGTGCCGCGCATATAATTCATCTTAATCTTCTCAGGTATTCATTAAATTCTATTCTTTGAATATCGTACAATTGTACAAAAATCTTTCACGATCGAGATCAATGCATTCAGGTACTTCCACGTGTAATAAGCCGCTCACCTTGACCCACAGACACAGTCATTGGTCGTCCCAAGCTACGAATTGCGTCGTCTTGATATGATACCCACTCTAAACAGTTTCCCTCTTGTTGACACTCTGTATGAGTTCTCCTTAATTTGCTCGCATAATCGTTCCCTTTAAAATGTGAATCGCCGAGCAAATCGTTCGCATGGAATTTTTTGGTGTTTCTAGAATTGTACCATTCGCAAATCGTCGAAGAAAATTCTACTTTCTCTGACACTGTTTGCTCTGTCAATAGCGCTGGGTACACCAAAACGCGGCTGAATGGACAGAGTAAGAATTACGACAGCTGTATTTCTTGTCAGTATTTCAATACCTGCATTTCACTTGCTTTTTTCCTTCTTATTTTTGATATTGCCTTTCTCCTTTCCCTCGAAATAAATGTCAATTATTAATTAGATGTCATGCCTAAGCATCCAGACAACTCTTTGCGTTTTTAATTTCTTTTTAATAAGGATTAACTGCGAATTCCTGTCCCGACAATGGACGCAAAGTAGCTCAACCGATGTCATTCGTTCGGTAAACAATGTCCAACAATGCGTACATCTCATCAGGATCGTTCTTTTTTGTTCTTTCACATGGCACGTGCCTTGGAATGGCAACTGCCTTATTCGCGGGCGCCGTTCCATTGTTTCGTTCTGTCGGGTCTGTTTAAATATTTAACAGTCGCGCGGAACTTCGTCATCTCCGCGTTAACGGTATCCTTACGATGGATTTTCGTGATTAATTTTCTAGGTTACGCTTGGCCATGAAGTCTGTGACTTCCGATTGTCACAAAGAATCATTATTACGATCGATTCAGGAAACGAATATAAATAAATGGTATGGACTATGCACTGCCCAAGTAATTAGGTCGTTCTTTTGTGTTACTTTGACTTTTATGTCCACTCTCTAGTTATTCTTGCATTTTTTAAATTATTTCTTATCCAATCGTAGCTATCTTTAGAATTGTTAGAAAATGTCTAGAATTTGAACAAAATAAAAAGAAATATTCTCACGGTGTACAAATATTTTTCGTTTGCTAAAATTTAAATAAGAAATATAACAATTCGAGAGTCTATCAAGATTATGAAACTTCTTCACTTTTATTCGTCCAATTAATGTAATAGCAGTTCCGTAATTATTTTGAGCAATTATAGGAGCAGTTATAAAAAAGTAGGGATGAATAGAAGAATTGGAAATAGAAAAGAATTCTTTGAGAAGTGAAGTGTTTCGAAATTATACCGTGCATATATATATATATATATATA